TAGGACTTGGCTCTGACTTGCCCCCGCTGCAGTCTTCCTCCCCAGGTCCAGGCCTTGGTCACTGCATGTGCCAGCTGTGCTGTTTTCCCCTCTGCAAGACGAGCCTCTTGAGCTTAGGGAGCTCTTGTCTTTCATCTGTGCAAGCTTAGACCTATCACATTGCTGGTGCATAGCAGAAACTCAATGTGTCAAATATGCAATTCACCCCAAAGCATATATATTTAGTGGAAGAATTTAATTTAGCAGAGAGATCCATATTTATCATTACAGCAGTTTAGGCAGTCCCCTTTAAGTTTATATATCCCTGGTCTAGGCTGTCTTTTTTATTCCTCCTTCATACTATATGGTATTGGTAAAGATCAATATGTAAGTGAGGTACTCCATCCAAACTGCTATGAACATTCCAGAATGACCAGGTCCCCTCAGATATACCCAGCATCACATTCTCAAACATTTGTTCATTGTTGCCCTTATGAAATTGTTTTGAACTTGGGTCTTTTTATTTTTATATTTTTGGTACTGGGATTGAACCCAGGGGGATTTATTACTGAGCTACATCCCCAGCCCTAAAATTTTTTATTTTGAGACAGGGTCTTACTGAGTTGCTCAGGTTGGACTTGAACTTGGAATCCCCCTGCCTCAGTCTCCTGAGTTACTGGAATTACAGGTGGGTGCCCCACACCTGGCTTCTGAAATAGTTTTGGTAATGCTCACACAACAGGTGCCCACGATATGTCTTTTTAGTGAACAACGTGGTGTATATTCTGAACTCAATGAGCTTGTGTGGGGAGTGAAAATGATGGTTCAGGGCACTTTTCTGAATCCAAATTGTTTCTTATTTTGAAGATAATATGTCACATAATTGGGAGAAACATGGCTGGGGCACTCAGAGGTCTGTTTCATTAATATTCATTTCTTATCTTATTATTTTGTCTTTGTTTTCAGACATCAATAGCTAGCTAATATAGCAACAAAACAAAATAGAAAATTGAGGTATTTCTTCAAATAAATATGGGAAACCCTTCCTTAACCCACTATACTCCCACAAACTCATCCTCAATATCTACAGACACTTTCAGAGCATGAGCTTTGAAGTCTCTGAAACTCCGCTCTGAGCCTTCTGAACCTTACCTTGGTCACTTATTAACTCTTTGCCCTAGAGTCTGAGTCAGCTTTTGTTTTGCTGTGACCAAAATATCCAACAAGATCAACTTAGAGGAGGAAAAGTTTATTTGGGCCTCAGAGTTTCAGAGGTGTCAGTCTGTGGACGGCCGACTCCTTGCTCTGGGCTCAAGGTGAGGCAGGACATCATGGGGGAAGGCAGAGGAAAGATGCTCAGCTCAGGGCAGGGTCTGGAAGCAGAGAGAGAGGGGAAAGGGTCCCAGGAAGAACAACCGTTGCAGGGCACGCCCTTAGTGACCCACCTGCCTACAGTTATCACTCAGTCCATTCAAACTAGGATGGAATGAGTAGGCTACAGCTCTCATGATCTAATCATTTCACCTCTGAATATTCCTGCATATACAGGAGCTTTTGGGGGACACCTCATATCTAAACCATAACACTTAGGAAACTTACTTAACCTTTTTGAGCCTCAATTCTTCCTCTGTAAAATGGAGACGATAGGAATACTTAAGATTAATGTGAGGATCAAACAAGTTAATATGTATAAAGACAGCATAGAATCTGGGGCATAGTAAATCACTTTTGTATGTGTTAATTTTAATATTGTTATTAGATAATTAAATGAATATTTGGGGAGTAGAGAATGGGACTTTGACTTATTAACTGCCTTCATACTTTACTTTCTTGGAGCTGTGTCTCAGTTGTGTTAAGTATTCCAGTAAGAGAATAATTAGCAATGGATTAACTCATGGGCTGCTCAAGTGTAAGGTGGACAGAGAACAAATGATATTTTGCCATTTTAAGAGAAATTAAAACAGGGTGTGGTGGCACATGTCTGTAATCCCAGCAACTCAGAAGAATGAGGTAGGAGGATCATAAGTTTGAGGCCAGCCTCAGCAATTTTGCCAGACCCTAAACAACTTAGATGAGATCCTGCCTTAAAATAAAATAATCAAAAGGACTGGAAATGTGGCTCAAATGTGCCTCTGGGCTCAATTCCCAGTAGAGAGAGAGAGAGAGAGAGAGAGAGAGAGAGAGAGAAATTCAAATTCCCTTGACACAAGATTTTGGTGTTTTTTCCTTTTCAGTGCTGGGTACTGCTATTTTGTTGAATACATTTGATTAGCCTTTAGTGAACCAAGTCCCTAAAACTTCACCCGGCAGCTCAGTGGGCAAGTTAATAGTGCTTCCAAAAAGATTTTATCCAACACTTAGGGAGGCAGTGAGTGCAAGGTCTCTACTCCTGGTGCCATGTAAACTCAGACTTGTGCTGTTCTCCCTCTAGTAATAATTTTCCCTTTGGAGAACTCTTAATTAACTTAGCAACATTTCTTCAAGGAAATAATTTAAGAACCTAAAAATAATATACAACAACTGCAGTGTTTTGCAGTGTCCCAAGGACTGTTTTATGTCCTTTTGAATCTCATAGTTCCTTGAGTAGTGAGCCTTGATAAGGGCTTATTAATTTGGCTTGATTAAATTAAGAAATTGTTGCATCCTAATTTAGCATCACTTGGAGCCTTTCTGCAGTGTAAAGTTCATATAATTAAGTAGGTTTACTGTCAGCACACGGTGTCCACCTTTTCCCAACATTAGAGAGAGTTCTTATTGGTTTGTAATGCATTTGAGGCTCCCCTGGAAAGCTGGCCAATGTCTCTTCTTCTTTATAGGGACCCTTAGTGTCTGTACCCCTTTAGAAGAGAAAAAGCTGGGTGATCCTGTATCTGAGTTTGGCCCAAGGACAATGCTTCAGGTGGACCAAGTCAAATGGCTTGGTGTCAGATGGAGACTTAATTCTCTTCATGAACCCAGCTGTATTTGTCAGGGTTCTCCAGAGAAACAGATCTAATAAAGGTATATATAGATATGTAAGAGGGAATTTATGATAGGCTTTGGCTCACTCAATCTTGGAGACCCAGATGCTGCAGAGTAGGCCACCTCAGGATGGAGAAGCAGGGGAACCAGGGGTGTTGTGCAGTTTTGAGCATAAAAGCCTATGATCTTGTAGGGGGGAGTTGCTGATGTAAGTTCTGAAGTTCGAAGGCTCAAGAACCTGGACTCCTCTGATTATCACAGATTATCACAGATTATAGATCCTAAATTTAGAAAATCCAAAAAACTTCACCAAAAACTATATGATGCTGGCAGACACATTAGACCAATGGTACAGAATAGAAGACAAGACAAACCCACACATCTATAGTTATCGGATCCTTCACAATGGTGCTGATAAACAAATTTAGAAAAGTAGCAGGTTACAAAATCAGTAGCCTTCTTGTAAACCAACAGTGAATCTGCTGAGAATAAAAATCAGGAAAACAATTCTGTTCACAATAGCCTAAAAATCAACAACAGCAACAACACCCCAAGCCAAACCAAACCAAACCAAAACAAAAACCTAGGAATAAATCTAACCAAGGTGAAAGACCTCTACAATGAAAACTATAGAACACTGAAGGAAGAAATTGAAGAAGTCAAAAGATGGAAAGACGTTCCATGTTCATGGATAGGTAAAATTAATATTCTTAAAATGGCCACACTACCAAAAGCAATATACATATTCAATGCAATCCCCATTAAGGTACCAATGACATCCTTCACAGAACTAGAAGAAACAGTCCTCATATTATTTGGAAGAATAAAAGACCCAAAGAGCCAAAGCAACACTAAGCCAAAAAGCAATGCTGGCGGCATCACAATACCTGACTTCAAATTACACTACAGAGCTGTAGTAACAAAAATTATATGATGCTGGCAGACGCATAGACCAATGGTATAGAATAGAAGACACAGACAAACCCACACATCTATAGTCATTGGATCCTTCACAATGGAGCCAAAAGCATACATTGGAGAAAAGACAGTGTTAGAAAAAACTAGCTAGCCACATGTAAAAGAATGAGACTTGCTCCTTCTTTTTCACCCTGCACAAAAATCAACTCAAAATGGATCAAAGACCTAGGAATTAGAACAGAAACTAAGGGCTGGGGTTGTGGCTCAGTGGTAGAGCGCTTGCCTAACATGTGTGGGGCACTGGGTTCGATGCTCAGCACTACATAAAGAAATAAATAAAATTATAGGTATTGTGTCCATCTACAACTGAAATAATAATAATAATAATAATAATAATAATAATAATAATAATAATAAAACAGAAACTATGCAACTCCTAGAAGAAAATGTAGGGTCAACACTCCAACATATAAGTACAGGCAATGACTTTCTCAATAAGATCCCTAAAGCTCAGGAAATAATGTAAAGAGTTAATTAATAAGATGACATTAAAATTAAAAGCTGCCACGCAGCAAAGGAAACAATTAGGTACATGAAAAGTGAACCTATAGAATGGGAGAAAAAATATTTCCAGCCATTCTTCTGACAGAGGATTAGTATACAGATATATAAAGAACTAAAAGAAAAACCTTAAACAAAAAAAAATAATAATTTAATTAATAAATGAGCCAATCAGAGGTCTTTTATTTACATAGTTGTCAATAAATTTTGTACATACCTAAGACTGTGTGCTATTCTTTCCACATATCATGGCCTTTTCCAGATCATGGAGGAAACTTGGAACGTAGAATACTGAATGACTATGTAAGCTTCAATTAAGTGCTTATACAAGTACTTAACTAACAATCTCTTTTCTTGTTTCCATTTTTTTTACTATAATAAACAAAGGTAGGTTGATTTTCCAATGAAGTTAGATGTTTCTTCTCCAAGTGTGTTGAAGCCCTAACTCCATGATAGTTTATTTGAAGGAAGTTATTAAAGTTAAAGGAGGCCATAGGGCTGGAACTCTGACCCACAAGGATTCATGTCCTTTAAAGAGACCCCAGAGATTGAGCTAACTCTCTCTCCATCCCACATGTGAGGACACAGCAAGAAGTGGTGGTGGTCTAAAAACCAGGAAGAGAACCCTCACCAGGAACTGAATGGGCCAGCACCTTGATCTTGGACTCTTAGCCTCCAGAACAGTGACAGATTCCTGTTGTTGAAGCCATCTAGTCTGTGGCATTTTGTTAGGGCAGCCGGGGATGATGAGGACAGCATCTTTGGGTGTGAGGCCTATGCCTTACTTTGCCAGCCCTCTATCTGCTCTATGTTTGCTTGGGCTCCACAGCCCCATCTGATTCACTTAAAAACACTAGTTCAATAATAAAATAATTAAGAATTTCAAGAGAGTTACAGCAGAACATGGAAACAAGTGTAAGGCCTCATGAACGTCGGCCCTGGGACTTCACAGGCCACTTGCCCATGAAGTCAGCCCTAACCCTGGACAGCTTATGTGTTCCTGCTGTGAGCATCTGAAGCTCATTCCTCATTTGTCCCCACTAAGAAGAGATCTTGGCATCTGACAGATATTCAATAAATGCTTTATATTGTTCAATAAAATAAATAAATAAATGAGCCAATGAATCAAATAGATGCTTCTCAAAAGAAGAAATACAAGTAGCCAACAAATATGTGAAAAAAATCTTCAACATCTTTAACAACTAGGGAAATACAAATCAAAACTAAACTGAGATTTCATCTCACATCAGTCAGATAGGCAGTCATCAAGAATACAAATAATAGGGCTGTGGTTGTGGCTTAGTGGTAGAGCGCTTGCCCAGCACATGGGAGGCAGTGGGTTTGTTCTCCAGCACCACAGGAAAAAAAAAAAAAAAACTAAATAAACAAAATAAAGGTATTGTGTCCATCTACAACTAACAATATAGGAGGAGTGAGGGGGAAAGTGCTGGGGAGTGACACTGACCAAATTCTGTTGTTTGATTACATGCAAACACAAATAGGTAAAAACAAACCCCGTCATTACGTATAAATATAATGCAATAATAAAAAATGTGGAAAGAGAAAACAAAATCTGGACTTCTGATGTCTGAGGGCAGGAGAAACTGGATGACCCATATCCAGGAGAAAAATTACCTTTGCTCTGCCTTTTTGTTCTACCTGGGCCCTCAACAGATTGGATGCAGGCAGGTCTTCCCTAATTTAGATTCAGCTCACAGACTCAAATGCCAATCTCTCCTGGAAACATCCTCAGAGACACACCCAGACATAATGTTTTACTGGTTACCTGGGTTCCCCCGACCCAAGCAAGTTCTTACCGAAAATTAACCATCAGCTCAGGCTTGTTCGAGAGCCATCTGGTTTCACTTCATAATAGAAACTCAGCCAAGTCCAGTCTGAGTTTCTCAGTTCAATCCAGTGATTTCTGACAATGTGGACAGTCCAGTTTACAGTTCGGTCTCCACGTCGGGGCTGTTTCTTTGCTCTTCTTCCAGTCCTGGTGCTGTTGGCCCCCTGAGGTGCTCCCCTGCTTCCATCTAACCCAGCCTTGGGCCTCCTGTTGGCCCTTCTGCTGCTTTCTTCTTCCACCTTCTGACAAAGGCACAGGCTTTTCTTCTTTTCAGACATGCCTGGTGCCACTGGGTACAGAGAAACTTTCAGAAGCACCCAGCCTCCAGGAGACAACAGAAAGAGGCTTTCTGAAGCTGCACCCTGTTCCCCATGATCCCTTCCTCACAACTGTGCTTTCAAAAGGACAAGTGAAAATGGCACATGGGACTCTTCCCCTCTAAGATCCCCAAAATGCTAAGCCTGGGTTTTGTTTCTGTCCCCTGTATACCTACTGAACATCCCACCCCCTCCCAATTACCCCAGCTTGTAGTTCTACCAGTGTGGCCTCCAGACACTGGAGGTTCCTTATTTCCATTATAACAGCAAGAAATGATTGGCTTTCCGTGAATGGTGCAGAAGGCATGATGGTGAAACTGGTGAATCATTAGTGTCCAGTGTGCCAGCCATTGCATTCTTCACTACTCCGCATTTGGAGTGAAAGGAAAGAAGGAGGGATGTATGTTACCTAAGAACATCTTGATGAAGCAGTAAAAGAGATTAATTTTATTTTTCACTCTTAGGTGCATATCATTTAAAATATTCTTTTTTTGACAAAATGGGAAGTATGCATAAAGCTCCCAGCTAGGAATAATGATTTCCTCAAGGAAAGGCACTTGTGTGACTAAGTTGCTCAACTAGTCACTTTCTTCACTGAATATCATTTCTACTTTTCAAAAGACCATTTAGCAGACAAACTGTGGGTTTTCAGATTTGAGTATCTGGCAGACATTTCCTTGACTGTAAATAAAACCAGTCTCTTCAAGAAAGACAACCGGCAGCATTTGTTGCCAGTGTTAAACTATTTCTTTTTTTAAAAAAAGTATTTATTTTTTATTTTTAGGTGGACACAATGTCTTTATTTTACATTTATGTGGTGCTGAAGATCGAACCCAGGGCCTCATGCATGCTAGGCGAGCACTCTACCACTGAGCTACAACCCCAGCCCAGTGTTAAACTATTTCAAGCTCCAGATATACTACTTATTAACAGGTGATTTGATCTTGAAAATTCAGAAAGGCACTGGCATTTTCTCCATAGGGTGGATATAGGCAGGCAGTAGTAAGTCAGCGTCAGAAAGTGCTTTGTAGAGTGCCTGGCCTGCGTTCAGTGCTCGATGCTGGTTTCTCTTACAGACACACCTAGTCAAACAATCAGATTTCCCCCCATATTTATATTAGTAAAAGTTAATTTCATTGAATAAAAATTGAATTTAATTTTCTAAACATGTGAGTCAATTAAATAAAAAGTGTCCATGCTAAGCCCCAAGTAACTACTTCTAAAAAAAATAATTCATAGGGCTGGGGTTATAGTTCAGTGGTAGAGCACTTGCCTAGCATGTGTAAGGCATATGGTTCAATCCTCAGCACCACATAAGAAATAAATAAAGAAAATGAAGGTATTGTGTCCATCTACAACTAAAGATATTAAAAAAAATTAATCCATAGTTCTTTCATAATAGGGCAATAATGAAATGACAACAGGGCTATAATGAAATAAATGCAGGCATTGTGATGCTGAGTTTTAGGTCAAAATTTTTATTTCTCCAGTTTTCTTCAGGAAAATAAGTAGGACCATTTGTGCAGTGGCTAACAATGCACAGAGTAACATAAAATATTTATCAGTACACCTCTCAAAGCTGACTACTTAAAAACAATTTTTCATAGCACCAATGCCAGCATACACAAGGCCATCTGTGTCCCTGACACACTGGAAGCTACGGCCATTGAATGATGTCTTGATCATTATGCCATTAACATCACAGCTCACCTGATTAGTCAGATGTGTGCTCCACATTATAGCACTTGTATCCGGGCTCTGGCTATGAATTAATGGGAATTCAGGTTATGTCACATTTTGGACATAGGCAGGCAATGAAAATGGAGAAGAGGAAAAGAAGCCAATAATAATCAAGAGAAGACAGGAAGGAAGGAGAGAAAGAAATGCAACAAAAAAGGTGGTGGAAAACTAGTCACCTGTTAGTGAGACACAATGAGGGTCTTTAAAGCATATTTCTCCATTTTCCAAATAATTTTTATACTCTCAGCAATGATTGAGGCCCAGCTTGAACACCAGCACAGGTTCTTGTATCTTGTGTGGAGGCAACCAAAGCTCAGAGAACTCTTTCAACCCTTGTGATTAGTCTGGCACTACCCTCTGTGTGTGCTCTGTTCTTTGAAAGGTATTTTTCTAAACAGCTATTGAGTGGCTTTCTTCAAGAACAAAAAGGGTGACATTCACACAACACTCAGAGGCCATCTAGGCTCATGTGGCCTGTCCTTTTGGTGCAGATGGAACACTTTCCCTGAACATTTTTTCCTGATGGATGGTGGCCCCTGCCATCAGCTCCCCACTTGGTAACTTTTGCCTTGCAAATGAGCCAGCTTAGGGTAAGAGTTGCTTGTCATCAGTGAGAGGGTAGCATTTCATGGAGCATCTGAGTAGGCTCACAATTAACCTGAAAACCATCCTGCAAGAAATAGTCAGAGCAGCACAACCTGCCTGTCAGTTCCAGTCCAGGACTTTCAGTTGCTATTTTTGTTGTTATGGAAACGAACCGCACTGCTTCCTCAAGATTTCATTATTCCAACAAATATATTTTTTCATAGTCATTATAAGGTATCAGAAGTAGCCAGAAAGACTCAAGGGATGGAGGAGCCCAGAGGAGAAAGGCTTGTGATTAGAGAAGACTTCTCAAGGAGCTATAACTTAAACCTGAACTTGGGGCATGATTGGATAGGGGAGAAGACATTTCAAGTGCAAGGATTGACAAAAAAGCAAGCTTGGGAGAGAGCAGGGATACAGGTGGGGTTGGAGTTCAAGACTAACAAGAGGATGTGGTAGGAAATGATAAGGACACACTGAGGCCCGTCAGGAGAGTCTTAGTTGGTCTAAGAGTTTGGACCTTTCTGCAGACAAAAGGAAACTTTTGTCTTCTGCGTGCCAAGAAAACTAATAAATAAAATCAATAGTTTAAAACACGGGGTGAGTGCTTTAAGAATATTAATTTTATCTGAGGAATAACAGTGAGAATGTCAAGCTAGGCTCTGGCTAATACTACTGTGGTTCTTGTAGATGTCAAGACAATAATTTAAAAATGGAAAAATTCAGCCATCTTATATAGACAAAACCACAAGAGTTCCATGGAAATCACCTGATTTTTGTTTATTAAAATTCACTGAAATGAAATGTGATAAATATATTCAATGGAATATTACTCAGCCTTAAAGAAGAATGAAATTATGGCATTTGTCAGTAAATGGATGGAGTTGGAGAATATCATGCTAAGTGAAGTAAGCCAATCCCCAAAAATCAGAGGCCAAGTGTTTTCTCTAATATGTGGATGCCAATTCACAATAAGGAGGGGGACACTAGGGAAATACAGCATTACCTTAGATTAGGTGAAGGGAAGTAATATGAGGGGAAGGAGGGAGAAGTGGGGACAGGAAAGATAGTAGAACGAAACAGACATTATTACTTTATGTATATATGTGATTGCATGACCAATATGATTCTGCAACATGTACACTCAGAAAAATGAGAAATTGTATCCCATCTATATATGATATATCAAGGTGCATAAATTCATTCTAACATCATGTATAATTAATTAAAAAAATAAAAAATTAATAATAAAAAAGAAAAAAAATCACTGAAATGGCTATGGGTGTGTCTATGACATCCTGAGAGTTTTTACAAGCTTCAAAGTGACCTGTGATAATGAAGCCCCCCAAATCCATTCTGCCATCTGTCAAGGAAGAATTTGGGATCAAGGCCTTGATTTTTGGAATGTAGAAGTTATTTCCCTCATATCACAGAGGCTTTGTACCTTCTACCTAAATAGTAGGCTCAGATCATTTTACCATAGTAGTGACTGACCAATAAGTTGAAATACAGGAATGTTCAATTACATGCAAGAAAAACCTCTTGCTCAGAGCACCGGTTCTCAGTGTGGTCTGTGGATCTTTGAGTGTCTCAAGCTTTGTCTAATGTCAAAGATTTTATATTGTGCTGTTTGACTTTCTAAAGGGCACACAACTTCAGAACAGGTAAGCCAAGGTCTTTAGTTATTCCTAGACAGATAGAAGTGACATTTGAAAATATATTTCAAAATCCAACTATGAATGATAAACAGTGGATAAATCTGAAACATTACTACTGGAGACAGTAACAACAACACAACAGGCTGTATTATTGATAGAAGCTTTTTTGGACCACTTTTTTAAAAGGAAAGATTTCTCTATGATAATAAAGGATTCCTATTCTGAATGTCTACATATGGAGTTTCAAAGGTTTCTCCATAATTTAAATTAAAATTTCTTAATTTAGGTTTTCTAACATAAGAGCTGCACAGAAAATATAATACATTGTGTATTTGTCTGCAGCCAAGAAAATTGATAAATAAAATTTATGTGGAAAGAAAATTTTAGTAATCTATAAGCACAACTTTGAAATTACGATGAGTTCCTCCTCAGCAAGGGAAATAAGAAATATACTTTTACTTTTTGAAAAGAATACAAAGTAAGTGTGAAAAGAGTCCATCCAGTTCCCAAGGTTTAGATCAACTAGAGGCATGCAGATGAGAAATTGCACTAAGGCAGGTCTCAGGAATTCCCACTGCTTGAGAGGTGCTATTCTCTTGGACTAGAATTTCCCCTCTCGCCTCCCATTGGACCCTTCTCTGGTCCAGCCTCTCCTTCAAGTTCTTTTTAGTGTATGTGGTGCTGGGGATTGAACCCAGGTGTCATGCATGCTAGGCAAGTACTCTAGGCCTGAGCTACATGCCTAGCCTCTGGTCCTTCCTTCTCCATTTAAATGTTGCCTCCTTAGGAAAGTCTTCCCAGGTCACCCTCTCTGAAGTCATCACCCACTTTTACTCCAAATGCTTTGCTCCGATTGTCCAATTTTAGCTTTTCATTTCTTTCCTAACACTTTTCAAGGTTTGTGATATTTTAATTATTCTCTTCCTCTGGGATAGAAACTCCATGAGTCCTGCTCACTGCCCAGATGGGTCCAGGATTCAAGAAATGTTTCTCAAATGGCTGGATGTATGAGGCAGCTGTTCAGGACAACAGCCAACATGACCCTGTGGTGCAGTGGGGAACCCTGGAACCAGGGACTTCTTTTAAGCTGTCCCCTCCTTCCACCAGTTGGTTGAATGACCTTGACCAAATCTCTTAGCTTCTCTGGTTCAGATTCCATGTCTGACAATGAGACAGATTTACTCAGATTTTCATGTAGGCGTCCTGGAGTTAGTATGCAAGATTCAAAGTTTATCTGATTACATTTCTGTGGTGCTGACAACTACTCTCTTCCCACTCATTGAAGAGGTGTGGATCTTTTCATTATTTCTGAATATAAATAGATATATTTTTTTAAATGTACAGGCAGGTGTACTTTTAAAAATATAATTTTTATGATTAGCAGAAAGCGCATAAGTTTTGGGAGGCGTTCTGACAATATCTGTGCTTTTCTTGGCTTTTTTTTTTTTTCCTGGTGCTGAAAACCCAGGGTTTTGCACAGGCACTACCACTAAACTACACCCTAGCCCCACTTTAGATTGTCTTTAGCTGTGTAGAATACAGGGTGTGGCTATGGAAGTATATTTGCATAGTGGTCATTGATGCATTTAGTTTAAAAAGGAGAGGGTTGGTGTTCAAACAGAAAAGGTGTGTCTTAGACACTAACGTTCAGCATCCCCTTGTCCTTGTAATGACGTACTTTGTAATTGTAGAGCTAATTGTAGAGCTAAACTCAGGGGTTTGATGTTTCTGAATCCTGCTTTTTCTATGCTGAAAAGACACAAGGCCAAAAGGAATATAAAACTGCATAAGTGCAAGCCATAATCTGAAAACCTCCTAGGGGTTATTTTGACCAAAAAGCAAACATGACTTCTCAACAGTGATAAATGAATTGCCATTTTTTTTTCTTTTTTTGCTACTGATTTGTTATTATTAGCAATTGTATTAGAAAATTTGAGGGTTATTACTCACCCATCATGAAAATAATTTTACATTTCCTCAAATCTTCTATGAAGCCTTAAAAATAAGAACAATATAAGTTAATTGCAAGAAGTACTACATTGGAACCCTGATTTCACTCATGTCATGTAAAATTCAAACCTTACAGAGTTTTGCTTGATTAGAAGCTCAAAGCTGAGTAGATGCCTTAATAGGTTGCTATTAATAGGCACTGATAACCATTTCAGCCTTATTCCCAGATCCAGGCAATATATTTTTATTTTCACATGCACTATTACTTTTAGGTGGTAAAACAGATGATATTAAATAGTATGAATCACAAAGCTAAATTTAAAACTTGTTTTTAAGTCTTTCTAAGTATCTCAGTTTGGTATTATTTCACATTTTTTCACAATGGATAATCTCCCTTTTAACAGAGAAGAATTAAAATATGGTATTTGAAGACAATATTAAAAAAACAAGTTTTATTTCACAGTAAATAATGCTATTTTCCACTTAACGTGGTGATATAAAATTTCTTTTAAAATAAGTAATTAAAAACAGTGAGTCAGTTTACAAAAAAAATTTAATAATACATGTATCAGTAGTGTAAAAATCAAAATGGTGGCAAGAATTCCACTGACTTCTAGAAGCATTTCCTTGATGTACTTAGGCAAATCCAAGCCAGGTAAAATTCTACAGTGAAGTGGTGGGTGTTAACAATGGGGGCTGTGGTTAGGAAGAGCTAATATTTGTAGTCAGGTTTTTAGATGCATCTGAGGCTAGATTCTTCCCTGAGTCAGACAGATGTGAGTGCTGATACAGTAACTGAAGATAGTTTTGAATAATTTATTATTCTTGCTAATTCTTATGCTAAGGGAGATACTCTTCAAATTTGCAAGGCAACTGAGTGGACATTAATGTATCATGATGTAGGATGAAAACTTGCTTGGAATTTTAAAGTGAACTAGAGTTCAGAGATGTTTGATGTTTTTTTTTTTGGAGGTCCAGCCCTTGGATGTGCATTTCAGATCCTGGGCTGAGGTTCCTGGAGAAGCTGTCTAAGTAGGGAGGGTCCAGGACAGAAGGGCAGGACCTGATGGAGTCAGTCCTGAGCTGTGGTCCAAGTGGAGTTCTAGGCTCTTTCCTGGGTCCTGGGAGTGGCCGCTTTTGCCAGTCCTCAGGGTATGAGTTGACTAAAATGATGGATGGGTGTGAGTACTTGGAGAGGTTGTAGGTTTTTATTTTCTATCTTAGTGATAAAATGGCCATTTTCATTCTTAAAATGAATTGATAGGAGTCTGGCTTACATTTTATATTTTATGCAGATGATAACTACTTTTGAAAGATAGCTCATTATTTTGACAGTTATAAACATTATTTTTTAGCAAAACTGAGATAGTACTTTTTATATACATAATGCTACATATTTGCAGGACTCCACCATTGACTGAGTGACACTTCTACCTCCTCCCACATATATAAAGATATGGTGTCCCTAACTTGTGGGATGAGGTGGTCATCTCATGCTTTCCCACCTGCCAGCTTACTTCATGAAGTTGAGTAACTGTGAATCTATTTGTAGTCTAGAAAAATGACCATCGTTCTTGTAGGTCTTTTTTTTTTCTTAAATATGATCATATCCTATTTCAGTTTTTTAAAAGTTAGTGTTTAGTTAATGATGGTACAATTCATACAATGCAGTCATTACAAATTAAGTTTTACAGTGTTTTTAATGACATGGAAACAGATTGTGTTACGATATGTACAAAGATTTGGAGATATCTGTATGTCTACATGTATTCTCAACTATGCAAAAATAGTTATGTAGACAATACACTGAAACGAAATACACTAGAATGATAGCCACGACTATTTATAGGTCATAATATTTTAGATAGCTCTTAGTTCCTTCCTTAAAAAAAATTTCACAGTGAGTGTATGTTAATTTTATAACCAGGAAGAAAGGAAACTTAATGAAGCAATCAGTCACCCCTATCCAGTTGAGACAGACTTTTGCTTATTTGTACTTAGCTAAGTGACAGCTAAGATATGGTTCCTGTTTATGTGCCTTTCTCCATGGATCACAATGATATCATTTGGTAACTGTGATTTTCACATATTGCTATTGCCATTATCATCAAATGACACTGTATCGGCCACCTCATGTTCATGGATCAATGCAGGGTTAGGACTGGGTTATTTAAAAAACCAAATCACTTATTTGCATGTGTTCACAATCAAAACTAAAATATTTCCATGAATTTTAAGGATAACTTTTCTTACAAAATGGAAATATTTTACCTAGAACAATCATGAACTTTTTTCTTTCTTTTTTTTTTTTTTTGCTCCCAGTACCGGGGATTGAACTCAGGGACACTTAAACACTGAGCCACATCCCCAGCCCTTTTTTCTTTTTAGTATTTTATTTAGAGACAGGATCTCCCTGAATTGCTTAGGGCCTTGCTAAATTGCTGAGTTTGGCTTTGAACTTGTGATCCTCCTGCTTCAGCCCCCGGAGCTGCTGGGATTACAGGCTTGTGCCACTGTGCCCGGCCCTTTTCTTTTTTTAACAGTTCCCAATCCACATAGTTTTATCTGTTTTCAATTACATTTATAGCTAACTTGGGATGAATATTTTAGTTTGATGAGACTTTTGATATGATAAAAATCACAAAGCAGTATAATCTTGGTGTAGGTTGGGTTGGGTCCCAAAGGTACACTGCAGAATCGTAACCACTATATAGGAAAGAGTTTAGTTTTGTATTCCAAATAAGTTGAAGAATGCCAAATTAAAGTTAGACAGCTCTCTTTACTGGAACTTGTGGGGGCCTTGTTATGATATTACACATGTGAATCTTCCAATGGAGACTGAATGGTAAGTGTTTCCCAAGTATTTTTGACCAAAGCATCCTCTTTTCATTGAGCACCTTGGGAGCCATGTTCTCTGGGCGTTTAGGAAATGAATCTCTTAGTAATGAATCCCTTTGGTTTATCACATGGGCCACGAAAAGCAAGATCCATATTCCCTGGCCAAGGGAAAAGTACACACTGTTGACATTTTACTAGCTATTAGTTGATGTTTAATTGTTTCAAGCTATTGAAGTGACCTCTTTGGTTTGATCAATAAAGGAAACTCACCTCCCATGGTGTCCTCTCCAAATACATTTAACTGGTCATCACCCTGTTTAAAAAAAAAATCACAATATTAGATGATACTACTAACAGTTACTATTTAAGCTCCTGGTTAACAATAACATATATAAACTTCCAAAAAACTCTACAAGGGACAACATAGCAGAGACAAGAATCTGAGAATGCTAGAAGTTATGCTGATGAAGGTCACACAATGGTGAGGGACAGAGCTCAGGTTTAAAACCGGGGCCATTTGTCCACGTTCTCTTTGTACCTAGTGCAGTATCCAGTCTCTCTTGGTGTATAAACTGTGGATAGAAATCTGACCTCAAAAAGACAAAATCCTTCAGTGTCAGAAGGATTTTATCCACATCAATGGATAGATGTGGTCACAGCTGTTTTATGAATAACTCTACAGTTTAAAGCGAGGATTGCCAAGATTTCTGGTAAAGGGACAGATAGTAAAGCTTTGCAGTATTGTGGGCCACATGGTCTTTGTCACAACTATCTCATCACTGACCGTACTCTGCCAATCCCTGAGCCAGAGCATGAAATAAGGAAAGCTGGAGTGGCCAGCTTTTGCTGATGCTTTAAATTTTTCATTTTATTTCTAACAAGATGCTCCATTTTCCTTACAGAGTAGTCCGAGGTGTTTGGGGAAAAAATTCAGAAAGTTTTCTCATTCCGACCTATGTCTTCATCTATTTTATTGTCCCACTTCCTCACCCCTTATAGATGGTTGTGTACAGAAGTTTCTTTCTAGGTACACAAAAAACAACTTCTACATAGCCAGGGATATACTTGATATAAACATATGTATTCTGATGACTTCCATTTCTTCTGTAAAAGAAGGATATTTTAATTACACCTGGATATGACATAATACTATCATATCATAATAGGATATATACTTCTGCAACATACTATTCTTCCCCCTTGCTTTTTCACAAATCAATGTGTTATTGACAACTGTCCATGTCAATATAGAATGTTCTCAGTAGAGAAGGTTCTAGGTTACATGGCTTTCTATTTTATGATTGGTGCCATAGTCGTCATTGTTTTTTAACAGCCCCTTTAACGATGGGCTATTGAATTGTTTTCAATCTTTGACTACTTTTGGCAAAGTGGCCCAGAGAATAAAATTATACAAATGTCATTTCACACTCTTACTCCTATAGAATAAATTCCAAGAGAGAGAGGACCATGTGGTCACAGAATAAATGTATTTAAAATTTCTATAAATTTTTGCCCAGTTGCTCTCCACAGAGGATATACCCTTTTGCAGGGACAGCCTCTTGCTGTCACTTCATCCCAGCCTCTTGCCTCTAATTCACTTTGATGTGGGAGTCAGTTAAATGAGGTTGTCTGGTTGCACTAATGCTCCCTTGAGGTAAACTGCCATGAAAGCGCTTTGTTTAAAGTCAGAGTCTTGCCATCCTTTTTAGTATATATGTCTTCAGGGTAACTTTACTGCTTGTCTTCTTAGATTTGCCCGTGTTTCCCCAAGCTATTCCAGGTAGAGAAGAGCTTTTAATGATGCAGTCATTCAGGGACACAATTACATCAATTAATTCCCTTCCAGGAATAGAAAGAACATCATTACTCCTCAGTAAGCCTCCCCACCAGTTCCCTTGTTGAATTCATTGCTCTTCAAAGTGGGAGTGTAGGGATGATCAAATGGACCCTACCCTACCTGCTTTTCCCATCTCCCATTTTACAGCTGAGGCGACTGATGTTTAGAGAGGTCTGTGGCCATACCATCATGTTCTTGGTGAGGTCGGGGATGGAATGAGAATCATACCTCTTACTCCCTTATTTGGCTGCTATAGATTTAGTCCCTTTAGCGTAGCTGCCATAGTGGATGTTGCTGGTGTCCCATTTCTCTCCTGGCCCCTGGCTGCTAAAAGCTCACAAAAATATGGCCCTTGCCTCAAGTTGGGATGACTCCATGGTGTAATCTGTGTCCCGGGGATCCCTGTGGGAAGGTGCCAGGACCACATCTTTGCTTAGCATGTACCCTGCCTAATCCTGCGTCTCCGTCCCCTCTTCTGAGAGCACAAACTAACAGCACACTTGCACAAAAATGTCTGTCTCAGGCACTGCTTCTGGGGAAGAGGACCTACCCCAGAGACCTATTTAAAGCAATTAATATGTTTGTCTAAGATGCAGCTGCACAGTAAGAGGCTCAATAATATTGGCTAGAAAAAGATTATTTAATCAGAATCTGTCTGTTGCTTGTCAAACAGTTGTTGAATACTTCTAGGTAATGTTAAGAGGAAAACCTGAGTTCTCTCCTTTACCTTTTAATATAATTGTTAGATTATCAGATTATACCCATTGCACAAGCTAAGCTATATCTGATTTTTCTTGTACATGTTATCTTATCTTGGGAGTTTGACCAAGGTTAAGCTGAATTCATTAAAACAAGGTACCATAATATAAAGGGGCCTACCTCACTTTTATCTGGCTTCTGGAGGCTGACCTGTTTTTAATCCAAAACTCTTATTCACAGCCTTCTACTCTAGTTGCCCACATTCTTTGAATGAAACACAGCTTTATTTCCATTAATTCATCGATAATTAATAGGTTTCTAGGGCATAAATGTAACCATCATTAGTTCTTAGGAATGTGGTACCCTGACATGAAAGTCCAGGTGGATGGGGTATTTGACTGGAGGGAATTATTTTCCAGTGACTCTTAATTCACCGCATGATTGCAGTGTGACTCTTTCGCAAATAAAATCAACTGGGCATTGTAAACACACACACACACCTATGCATATAAAAGAGGGGTGAATGACAAACACTTCTGATTTTGGTATAAAAATGCCAAACTGCCGTGGAAACACTTCATCTTGGGTTTTTTAAATTTTATTTTAATGCTAGGTGTATTATGCATGAAAGGCATTAATTTTGAATGCTAATTGATTTCAGAATGTCAGCTGGATATGGAGGAAAGGAATAGCCTTATTCAGGACACATCCAGTAAGATGTTTGTGCCCAGTTGCTTTAGCGCTTCATCTTCAGTGAGGTATAACTACAGGAATCACAATGCTTGGGCCACCGATTTCCACTGAGAGCTGTGAGTGCTTCTCTGTGCAATGGCCTCTTCCTAGGCAAATGCTCCATTTAGCCTTTTACACTTAAGGTCTTTGGTCACCTTGAGGCTGCCTTATAGATTTAGGCTTTGTGGGTACAATGAGACAAAGCTGACTTTCCTAGTTTAGGGCGTCGTGGAGTGGGATACTAACTCTTCTGAACTGGTAGAGTATAAATATAGGCACAGATTCTATGTAAGTGCCACTTAGGGCTCCTAGGTATGGAGCCAGTACACAGACTGCAATGATGCCATCAATACCAGCCCAGGTGGGGCAAGCTGCAGCTACAGTACCAAAGCAATTCAGCTGGCTGCATATTTTCGCTGCTGTTTATTGGGTAACATGTTGTTTACTTGTGGGGGAAGAGATTTAGAAACTGATTGAAAGGGCGCATTCAGAACCTCAAGGTTGGATTAGTGGCTTTGTGAGGGAAACTGTGGATTTGGACCTCAGATTTTGATCCTATCCCTGATTCTATAGTTAACCCAGAGCCACAAGGAAAGCAAAAGAAATCCACATTCAACTTTACTTTCTTGTGTGGATGTGCAGGCAAGAAACTATTTCTACAAAGCTGGATTCTAGTTATGATCTGTAGGAAGAGCAGATAATTGGTGTATATTTGTTTTCCTGAGGGATCACAGTGCCTATCACCTCTATCTGAAGATATGGAAGTCTGGTGGTCATTAACAGTGCCTGGAATTATTGAATTTTATGTGAAGGAGGACAAAACAGAACTACTTAGAAACACAGATAAGTTCACCAATTTTAAGAAACTGTTACTGAGGAGAAAGCTAAATAGACCCTCTAGCTTCACTTGCTCTTAGTTGACTTAAAAATCACTAATATTGAAGGTCTCACAGCTGGTAATACATATTCATCTCCTTGTTGTAGGTAATACCTCGGATGTGTGGGTTATGATGATAACAGTTGTCTAGGTTACTATTCAGAGACCTAATGGCCACGTTTGCCCCCAAACTGACTCTTCACTTGGCCCTGATAGGTGACTAGAATGGGATAAAAGGCTTGCCATTTCTGTCTTCATATTGTATCTCCTTTGCTACCTTACTTAACCTTTGGGTCAGATTCTATTCGGCTTTGCATGGAGACATGTTGATTATATGGGAAATGGTTTGTCCTAACTGTAAAACAGGGTTGATTTGACCTAGACGTGCTTATCCTCTATCCTCCCCCTTCAAGGAAAAGACACCTACTAGTCACCAGGCATAGAGACACCAGGCCATGGAAAGAGCAAAAAGAGGCGACAGCTGTGGTCCTGGAAGAGTTTTGCCTATTCCCAGAAAAGACGTGACTTTTCTTCCCTCTATTAGCCTGTGTCTCCCTCATCTTATCCCCCTATCCTATATCTATCGGTAACTCCTCAAGCTCCTTGGAATGGAGAGGTTGCTTGGTGAGCTTGGGTTCCCACTTCTCTGTTCCTAGGACACAGAATAAAATCTTTCTCCCTAACACTCTTCTCTCCGACATTGGTTTTTCTGTGGGACAAAATTGTGAACCTGGGTTTGGTAATGAACTGTTTATGGAGCTGCTTTGATTACAGAGTAGTGGGTGCTTCTCATTAAAGGAGCAACGTCACATGGCATTGCCACAAGCAGATTATATCATAATAAGAAGCTGACATTCAAATAGTGCTTTATATCCCTGAAAAGGTGTTTGCAGATGTGATCTCACTTGATCCTCACCGCAGCCCTGTGGATGGGGAATGGGGGTAACTGGAGTTGTAAGAAGCCACTGGATGGGATGTGCTTGCTCGTCCAATGTCCCAGGAGGGGGCAGAGTTTAATTCTCATTCTGATATTAATCATTACAGTCTCTGCAGAGTCCTCTTAATGCGTTCAGAGGTGGGGATCATGTATTTACATATGCCTGCTGTCCTTCCTTATTTAGATAGCTTTGATTTTTAAAAATACTTTCAGGGAATCACAGAATCAAAG